CCCAGCTCCACACCTTGTTATTTCAGAATTCTATCCTTTAAGGTTTTAGGAAAGAGAAGGCGCTGATAGGAGTAATCTAAGTTTTTTTGTCCTTCATGGGCCAGGTGGGTGTTTACTAGGAACTACACTTCAAGGTTACAGCTATGCTCCCATTCATAGATCAAGCAGCTGATCCTGACATTACTTGGCACAGTTTAACTCACACTTGTCCAAAGGCAACACGTTCCCAAACTCTGCTCACAAATTTCAAGCCAATAAAATCTCTAGCTGCAAGTAGCAGAGAGGCGCTTTGGGTTTCAAGTGAGAATGCTCAGGATTGCAAGTGGTTCAGTGGCTGTTATGTTGGGACACTCCATTCGGATGTTGTTTAATGAGTCCAGGTCCCAACCCAATCAGAATGAAGAGAAGAACAAAGATAATGTCCTCCATCATATTCACAGCTTGGAAAGAAGAGAGGAATAAAGGGGAATAGCAAGACTTTGTAAGTGACGAGGTTAGATCGGAAGTGTGCGTTTTCTTGACAGTGTTGCAAAACATACAAACATTATGATTTTTCTCAGGAGAAATTAGTAAACTTAATACATGCAAATTCAACAAGTGCACAAATAAAAATTGCTGCAATTTTGTGTGCTGTTATTATGCAGTGAAGAGGGCTGGCTAATTTACAAAATTGGTTCCACAAATTTTGAAGCGAATAGTTTTTGGAGAAAGCAGTTCACAGACAAGCGCGACCCACTGAGAAAGCTTACAATGACAAACTACTTGTCCCCACGACACAGTGACCCCATTCTGCTTGTCCAGGCTTGGTAAGGGCTCATGCCTGTGTGAACTCAAGGCCTGTGCTAGAATGTGAGCACGATATCGGGAGTTAAAGGTAGTCACATTTCGCCTGTGCACCCTAGCATCATGAGAGGAAATAATAATTAAAACAAACAGTCCATTGCTATTGGCCAAGGAGGTAATGTTCCTATACAATACAATGATCAAGAAGGACATATTTTTTTCAAAACAGAGTGTCCTTTTTGTCAGCCTTCACAGATAGTATTACAAAGATTCTTCAAAATATATATCTACAAAAAAAAAATCCTATTGACATATCCTGGTGTCCTGATTTAAAATATTAAAGTACGACACTTGCAGAAAACCAAGGGATGAATGACTTCCAATCACCTGGAACCAGAGAGAGACTTCATGGTAGAAATGCCTCAGGCCAATATGTGCAATGACATCTCAAACGCCTTTGCATTTCTGCTGAAATCGGCAATCTCTCAATGTCACTCCATACAGTGGCCAGATGAGTTCTTGCCACCATTTGTCCTTTTCAGATTAAAAATTTTATAGGGTTGTTTTCAAAGGGGGTAGGGATTGAGCAACACGTTGATGTTCACCTATTAGCTTCTTATTTTGAGGAGGGAGCCGTTCCTGTTTCATGAAATGGAGTAGCACAGCGGACATTAAACAGAAACATCAAATTTCCAGAGGAATGGGCAGCACAGGGGATTCGACGAACTCGAGCTCTTAAATAGATTTTACTGTGTCGCTACTGAATCATGTACTCAATCAGACTCTGGGTGCAATATCAACGGGGCCTACAGCTCCTGAATCAAAGAGGCTGAAAGTGTTCTCCAAAGGGTTAGGCATTGATCATGCTCCCCACCCTCTCTGTGATGGAGCTTCCCATTGTCTGAAAATCCTCTGACTGTCCTCAGTAATACGGCCAGGCAAACAAGCAGACGCTTTGTGCTCAGCAGAAACCACAGAAGTCCCAAAAAAAAAGCCAAACCGACTCTAGGTTCTTTACAGCTGCCAATTCAGGAAGACTTTCACCCAGGCTTTGCCTGTTGGGCTTGAGCCCATCTTCCCAAGACATGGATCTGAAGTACTTTGAGATATAAATGTACCTATTTCCTTACAAAAATGCAAAAACTGGATTATATTACAGGAAGGAACAGCATACTGACTGTCTAGGCTAACAAAAAGGCTTTAATAACTGGAGTAAATGTGAATGTGGCAGGACAACCACAATAAGAAATATTGTGTACATGATATTTACAGCAGAGTTAAGTGCTAGGTGACATCACTAACAAATTAGGTTTCGATACTCAAATGCAACAATGCCCTGAGTACCGTCTCTGAGTGCCTTTTATATGTCATATATATAATATACATATAGAATATATATATAGAAAAGAACCCACTACTTTTCTAAAATTCCTCCACTCCCACTATTTGTTACATCCTTAAAAATAAGAAAATGTTAATTCCGGTGTAAAAGAAATTAAATTACAAAGCAAGCCAATTCTCTGCCAGTACACAGACTCTCAACTGCTTTTGTCCCTTCTGCTGACTGGGATGTTTTGTTCATGCTCGTGTTTGCAGAGGTAGTCATTCACCGACATTGCTGGTGCTCCTTGTGTTCTGGGGCAGGGTTGGTGGGGGGGTTCGCCCAGTCTGGGAAATATGGCTGGAGGCTGGTGTGGTCAGAACCCGGGGATGGGGGGAATTACTGTTTAATGGAATTGTTCTGATTAGCGCCCGGGATGGTTAAAGTGACTTAAAAATAGTGTCAACTTTATTTCCCCTTGTCTCCAATTTTCTGAAGGGACTGATTTCTTCCTGGAAGAGCCTGTGCCCGTTTTCCCTACATGTGACCCGAACCATTGAAGGACGGTAAACTAACCCCGGTTCTATTCTCACCTTGCCTGCATTGTAATGGGATACATAGAGCAGCAGTGGGAAGCTCCCCTAACCATGGCACCAGAGGGTAAGCTCATTATCCCTATTACTGAGGCTGGTTGGCACAACAGCACAAAGCAGTGACTGAAACTTGGACCTATTAGTCTGTAATGCAACCACCAACTGAACGGCATGGGATCTTTGAGGAAGCCACTGACTGATACTAGCACAGTGACTCACCCAAAAATGGCGGCAATTGCAAATATCCCTCATGGCGGCAACATCTGTTATTGATATTACTACAGGAGAGAGAGGACAGCAAATAGGGAATTACTCTGTATTCCTTTAAAATCTTCATGCCAGCTCCTAAAGTGTTTCCTGAAACTCAGTGTCAAGTACCTTCTATATGAAAAGGCCAGGCCATCGTAATTGGCTGAACTCATGGTGGGGAAAGTTGGGGCAGGAGTATAAAGGAATGCCAATTGAAAATGACCGCTGCTAAAATCATCCCAAAAGAAAAAGAATATCATCAAGGTAGTTTCAAGGATGGCCCTAGCTTCCATTTCTGTGAAGACTGGGGACTGAGAAGTCATCATCACCAATTGGGAGTAACTAGGGAGATGACCCATGACCTCTGTCTTCAACAGCATTTCTGACTGCACAGTTCCCTTGATGAAAGCCCACTTCTTTCATTCTGTAACAGTCATGGCCGCTGCATTAGTTGTGAAAGGAAAGAGGGTAAGAGTCAAAAGTGGGCGGCTGGCAGTCTCTGTTGTTCTGGGTTCAACAAGACGGGACTGGATGTGGTCAACAGCATGCATTTTAAAACCGAATCCCCTACACTAAAGAACTCTGAAGAACATGCAGAAATACAATACTCCAATCTCGTACCACAACCCATTCCCGATCACAAAGGTCCACAGGCCATGCAGAGCTCCCTGGTAGCCAACCCCTCACACGATGCCATCAAGAAATCTCAAAACGTTTCGGGCGACCACCCTATCTTAAAAGGGTGCACTCTGTCCCTCAATCGTGCCGAGGTTCCATGGCTATGAACTAGACTTTGGTGAGTTAGCAGACCTCAGCAAACGGCAGCAGTCAGGGTTAGTGAAGGGGCAAAAACAAAAGGAAGAGTTACATCAAATATCCACAAACATTTGCTGGAAGTTGAAGGCAGGACTGGGCCCAGCTGGTGAAAACCGACAGCAGATCCTTTCAGAGGTCACCCATGAGGTGATGGTCGAAGGAATCAGCCATGTAACCCCTGGAACTCCAATCCTTTTAATTCAGATACCAGCAAACTATTTGACTGTTAATCCCCCAGGTGCTTTCTCCGACGGGATTTGAAAATGTGGCAAGAAACTAGAGTGGGAAAGCCACTTTCTCCTCAGTCAAAACATACCAGACAAAGCGGTGTTGACTGTGACATTCAAGCCTCTTTCACCAAATCAACAATCCCTACACGCTATCCCATTCATTAAAACTAAGCTGTCAAGTCAGGACTGTAAACTCCTCCTCAGACTCAACCCATCTCCCCATTAGAAACTGAGGTTATTTGGAGACGAAGAAGGGAGACAAGTTAGATAGCTCCTGAAATTCCTCAGTTTCCCTTCACTCATCTCCATCTCCATCACCTACTCCTCTGCCACATTCCAGTGCGGCCTCCAGCCTTAATGGCTGGTACATTACAAGCCCCTCATAGCTTCTTTTCAAATACATGAATGTTCGAACCTGTTGTTCCCTTGCAACAACGTAAGGTGAACTCAGTGGGCAGAACAGATCCTCGTCACACTCCAACAACCTCTACAGACAACTGGAATCCCTAGGGGTTAGTATAGACATTTAATGGCATTCAGGAGGCACTTCTTCAGTCTTTTTCAATAAGTACCTATCCAATGCTCAGCTCAAACACCAATCCACCTTACCCACTGCCAATAGAGCCCCAATCATAATGATCTGCCAACTCAATAGGTGATCTGCTCATTATCACATTGCTGTTTATCAAATTTGCTGTGTGTAGATTGGCTGCCACATTCCCTGTATTACAACAGGGACTGCACTTCAAAAATATTTTATTGGCTGGAAATTGCACTGGGATTCTAAAGCTATGAAAAACAACATATAAATGCAGGCCCTTCCTATCTTTCAGTGGCTGAATCATCACAGTAAGTAATCCAGAAGAGAGCGTTCTGACTGTGTGTAATCTAACAGGCAAAGCTCTCATGCCCTTGGTATTATTTCATGACCTAGGGTAAGGGCTGGACCAGTCACATTAGTTCAGAACAGTAGCCTCTCTTTAGCTACTACACACAAACTCACTCAGCGGGAAGTGCCTTATCTCTGAGGCACATGTTTGCTTTGAAAATATTGGCCAAAACTGAGACAGGTAATTTATATATAAATACATCTTTCCTGGGCTTCATCAGTTTGCTTTGATATACCCAAAGTTAGTTCCAGCTACCACATTGAGTCAAATTGCTTTGCAGAGTTGATTATAATCTCTCAACTGGATCTCCTGTTCCAGTATGGTTGAAAATGTGCCATTGTTCACACTGTAAGAGCAAAAATGGACAATGCAAGGGGGGCAGCTGATGTCTATGGAACTGAATGACTGCCCTCAGAGGGGAGTATCAGGTGGGGAAAAGTTGTCCCGCTTTTGCATTTTAAGCTTACAAATACTGGGTGGACAAGCAAGTCAATAGTTTCATGTGAAACCTGTCCTTTATAATACCAGCCTCCGCTTTAATGAGCACCTCTTTCAAATCCGTTGTGTCTACCTTTTATGATGTAACCACGTCTGTCAGAAAGGAGAAATGCAAACTGGGAAGGGAGCCTTCTAATTAACTCCTTATATCCTGGAACTTCGACCCAAGTCAACTGCCTCTCCTGTCACCCACACAGAATTGTTTTGAGAAATTGAAGGGGTGATGATACCAAACTCCCATCAAGCATCTTGATAGATGGCAATGACTACAAAAGCACGGCTGCCATTTTGTGACTGCAAGCAAACAAAATGGAGGCATTTTACTCTCTGTTCCCCCTCCCTCCAACAACGATGGTAAGAAGGCAACGTTCCTACATACAAGCCCCCATTAACACTTACTTTCTGAAAGTGATCCTTATCCAATGCTTACTATCCCTGAAATGTAAATATTATTCTTTTTATAAAAAAAGGAAGAAAAACCGTACCATTACCTCTCACTGAGCTCAAGTTCTGGAGAGAGGAAATTAAAACACACACACACATACATGACCCTCACAGAAGTAGTGCAGAATATTGTTCTTTTGACTTCACAACAGTTCATTTTTTTTTGCGCTTTTTTTTACATTTGTTCGAATGTAAAAATATCTGTATTTCTGTGAAAAATAGATTTTTTTTGTGTTTGGTAAAAATGAGCAGGCACCAAGGTGTGTAGATAAATGGCAGGCGGTAGCACCCTCTGTGTAGGGGAGGTTTTGGGGTGGGGGGGTGAGCTCCTAGTCCTTCACCAGCCGGTAAACGTGATGTTGTGCACCGTGTTCGCTTGTCGACACTTCAAATACAAACGCTATACACAGCAGGGTCTCCTGGGTGTCCCGGTTGGTCACAACCTGGCAGAAAACAAGAGAGAGAGGGGAGAGCTTGAGCTGAGATGCAGTTGTACAGCACAAAAGTCACCTTGCAGCACCTTCCCAGCATCACCCTGGAGTTCGGCGTCAGAGAATGGACCAGAGGTGAAGGGTGAAACATTAAGGTCAATTGCTAGAGGCAAACAGTCATCGATTGATTAATTATGTTCAACAACAACTTACACTTAGAGTCATAGTTATACAGCACGGAAACAGACCCTTGGGTCCAACTTGTCCATGCCGACCATGTTCCCAAATTAAACCAGTCCCACCTGCCTGTGTTTGGCCCATATCCCTCCGAATCTTTCCCATTCATGTACTCATCAAAATGTCTTTTAAACGTTGTAACTGTACCTGCATCCATCACTTCCTCTGGCAGTCCGTGTAAAAACATTGCCCGTCATATCCTTTTTAAAACTTTCTCCTTTCACCTTAAAAATATACTCCCGAGTTTTGAACTCCCCCATCTTAGGGAAAAGACCCTTGCTATTCACCTTATCTATACCCCTCATGATTTTGTAAACCTCTATAACTTACATAAATCTTAAAAGTCCTGTCCCAAGATTTGACACCGATTATTCACATTTATTGCTGCTATGGCAACTTCATTTGTTTGACTTCAGTAGGACTCCTGCCCTTGTGATAATGGAATTACATGGAAGCCCAGCCCTGGGCTAAAGAGTCAAATTTTGTTCAGCTTAAGATGTGTGATATAGGAAGTGCGGTACAGTCATTATTTTGTGTTATCAAAACATTTCACCTTTGGAGAGTTTGAGGAAGAGAACATGAGAAAGAGACAAAAATAAAGTGGTTCAGGTCTCAAGAGTTACACCCTCAGATAATACAGTAATTGCTCTGTATCCACAAGGGTTCCATTCCCGAGAATCCTCACAAATGATGAAGTGTTCATTTTAAAATAGGTTAAAAATTGCGAATTTTGCCCCTGGCTGTTGATTTTTGTGGTTACTTCATTTTTGGCACAGCTAGGTGAATTCATGATTCTGTGGGTACAGAGGATTTACTTTATGGTTCAAATGATGAAACATATTAAGGGTTAACTCAAATCAAAGTGATAGTCTCACATTGCTTAAGGTAGTGACTGGCACAACATAGCCCAGGAAGTCACCTACGGCAGACCTGAATTTGAACTTTTTGAGTTCTTGTCATTAAGACCCACGGTAGATATTCGAGCCCTTGAGGCAGCTCAGGAAGAGCTGTAAGGCAGGCGTCCAGGGTAGCAGAGAGAAACTGGAGGAAATGAAGCCTTTCAGCTGTAAAAAGTGATGACAGAGGTGATCCACTAAGGGTGTAAATAGTGGAGATTGGGTACATTCAAAAATTACTTTACTATAAATCATTAGAATAGGACAAAGGACACTGTAGAAACTTCCAGAAATGATGTTCCAGGCAGGTGAGGAGTATTCCATGACAGTCCTGACTTGTGCCTTGTAGACAGACCCTGGGGAGGCAAGAGCTGAGTTACTCACTGCAATATTCCCAGCCTCTGAGCTGCTTTTCAATGGGTTAGCCATTGACCCACAGGAGGAATCAGCCATAATTAATAAGTCATAATGCTGCGGTGCTTTGATTTGCCAGGCACAGGTCAGTTGTAAACGTTTGATCTTGGTAATGACAGATTTTTGTTTCAAAAGGAGGAGTGGTTACCAAGCAGATCCATGAAGTGTAATATTATAATCCCTCAAGTAATGTTAATGTGTGAGGTGTACGTGAGTGTAGGTGCAGTGAGTTTATGTCGGGACAGCGTATTGAATGCACCATTATGAGGGAGATCTATGTTCACAAGTTGGGACACCTTATTATTTGGGGAAGCGGGTGAGCTCATTCAGTCATAATATTGCTGGCCTGACCACTGTGTTCTCCATCTCTTGCATTTGCAGATCAGGTGTTTGTTTGTGTGCTTGTTGTACAAAGCAGTTAGTACCTAAAAGAGTTAACTGGCATCACAAGATAAGCTTCACCCATTGGGATATAGAGGGCCTTTCCTGGGAGGAGTTAGATAGAGTTCTAGTCTTTCATGTTTCATGTAGCTAAACAGCGATGTGTACTTAATCTCAAATCTAGCCTGAGGTCTTATTAGAGATTCTCATGTCACTGTTATAACATACTGTTAAGTACTAGATAATAAACCTACCCTGTTCAACAAGACTTGCTTCTGTCAATGACTTTGTGTGAACATTCTCCCTCACTGGTGCCAGTGACTTACATTCATACCAATAAGAAAGGGTGGGGGCAGTGAATCAGTGGCGTGGCTGGAGATGACCAGACTGGTACTTACCTGCAGGATAGTGAAGTTCTCTAGCACACTGTTCATCATGTACTTCTCTGGTAAATGCTTGAGTTTGTGGATGAAATTGATCATGTATTCACACATTGGGGAGCGGTGGATCCGATACAGAAACCTTCCATTCTCCAGCCTGGCATATTCTGTCTGTGGCCCAACAAGAGACAGAAGACACAAAGCATTATATAGAATCAGTTATTCTGTAAAGGTAAAATCTACCTGTTGTGCAAGAAACAGTAAATCACATTTGAATGATGCAGGAGCTTGTTTGGTTCCATCTTGATGGTTAATTAGCCTTTGTTGAAGCACTTGCACTGGAAGGATCTGAATTTCACACAGAAAGCTGCTGTGGCTGAGTGCTGCAGGCCAGTTGGTCCATTGCAGAATGAATGGTGCAATCTACAGAATAACACATAATCCCTTCAAAAAACTGACTGGATTATTAGACCAGCATTATCATTATTTAACATGCAGACAATGCTTCTGGTTGTACTGCACCTTAAAGGGGCTTGTTCAATTTCTCCCCTCTTTGTTTAGACAGCCAACACCACCAATTTATCCTTTACTGGGTACAATGGTAATCTCTCTGAGACAGGTTCTCTCAATGGCTGTTAGGGGAAACAGAGAAGAGACATTGCTCCTGTACGTTTGAGGAGGTGACAGCTCCTTGGATGGAATAAGTCATTTGCAGTTCTTAATGAGGAAGTGGACTCGGTGTCTGACTGTCACCAAACGACTTAGTGATCCAGAAATGTGAAACAAAAAATTCCCACTCCTCAACCTCACCATCCTTTCACTACTAGAACAACAACATTCTGCTTCCTCTTATAGAGTCGCAGAGTCATACAGCACGGAAACAGACCCAGTCCATGCCAAACATAATCCCAAACTAACCAAGTCCCACCTGCCTGCTCTTGGCCCATATCCCTCCAAACCTTTCCTATTCACATATTAATCTAAACGTCTTTTAAACATTGTAATTATACCCACGTCCACCACTTCCACAGGCAAACCACCCTCTGTGTAAAAAAATTGCCCCTCATGTCTTCTTTAAATCTCTCTCATCTCACGTTAAAAGTGTCTTGAAATCCCCCTTCCTAGGGAAAAGACAATCACCATTAATTCTGTCTATAAAGCTCATTATTTTATAAACTTCTATCAGGTCATCTCTCAAACTCCTGTGCTCCAGTGAAAAAGTCCCAGCCTTTCTTTATAACTCAAACCTTCCACACCTGGTAAATCTCTTCTGACCTCTCTCCAACTTAATAATATCCTTTTAAATCACTTCTTGGTGTTTTTTTTTCCCTGAGAATAGTTGCTCACCTCCACCTTCTCCACGACTTGTTTTCCGAAAGAGCAGACTTTAGTGGAGCAGGTGATGGTCATGTTCTCAGAGTTCGTGTACTGGCTACTGACTCCATAGAAAGCTCCAGGCCCATCCTGGATGTTGCTGTTCAGGTCCGCCTGAGGAGACAGTGGCACAGAATGAGGCCCTGGATGACACCGACAATAACTCACATTCAGATAGCGCTTTCACTGCCCCAGGGTGTTTCAAAGGAGCATCACCAAACAAAGTTTGGCCCTGAACCCTGTCAGAGGATATGATGGAAGGTGATGAACACTTTCGATAAAAGAAGTCAGTTTTAAGGAAGGTTGCATGCCACAGTTAGGGAAACACAGGTTACAAGTGCAAAAAAACTCTTCGTAGATTTGTCATACGCAATTTTCCTTCTATAAATCAATGACAGTGCTCAAGTCGTTATATTTTTCCAAGTTCCCCGTTACCATGCACTCAATTGTAGGTTATAATTCCTTTCTTACTACTGATATCAGGTTGACTGGCCTGTAGTTACACTTTTTCCTCTCTTCCTCCCTTCTTGAGTAGTGGGGTTTGATCTTTGATAAGTCCTTAGAGAGGCTGAGATCAGGTTGGCATTCTCCGCTCCCATAAAGTTGGAGTGATCTGTTTGTTTCCATCACCAGTGTTTCAGTCTGCAATGTTATACGCAAGCGCCACCTGTTGATGCACTGAACACAGTACAACAGAACATTCCCCATTGGTCCTTACATTGACATAAAGGCAGGACAACCGGTAAACCCATGGATGTGGGTTCCCTAGAGATTCTTTTAGTGACAAGACCGTATTCAAGTTCTTTTGCTTCATTTTCCAACTGACAGCCAGAGATTGCAAGCCTGACCAATACACGTTTGTAAAGTTGGACTTCCTTTATTTCTTCATTTTTCTGCCTTTATATTCTATATTTTGGTTTATTTTTCTGTATTTAAAGATGGTGTCAGAGAGTGGTGACACTCTACAACACTTTTCACTTGTGTTTTGTAACAAGATACACGTGACAATAATTAAATAACTCAAAGCAGTGTGCCAGACTATAGCTGGAGAGCAGAGAGGAGGGAAGGAGGGAGGGATTGTGGGTCAGGGCGATACCATATTGGTTGAGGAGTGGGATGTGGTGGTGGGTTAGCGAGATGACAGGTTGTTGGTCAAACATTTTTCTGGGATTTAGTGGCGAAGTGGGGGTGCAATGCTGGAAAGTGGGTATGATTTCTGGATGGTCAGAGAGAGAGAGAGAGAGATCAATGGGAAGAAAAGCAGATTAGCTTTGTAAACCTGCGAGGGGGTTTTCTGTTTCTCTTGGCCCACAAGTGGTGTTGGAAAGACCCTAGCTGACGATCTGGCCTCTATCACATGCCTTTAGCTGCTGGGTTCTCGAGCTCTGGCAAGTTCTGGCCCAGGAACTGATACTTGAATTAAATTTAATGCATGCAGCTCATTTCAATATTAAATCAACAACATACCTTGGCAGAATAAGTCAGTCCCCTTTTAAAGCCAAAAACTGAAGGAGGGTTGGGTCAGACTTTCACCACAGCCGTCTGCTATTCCTGAACACTTAAAGTTCCCTCCATTCTGTCTGTAATTAATACTTCACCCAGAGATGCCAGACATTGTAAACCTCACTGTGTATTGCTGGGGGCTTGATTTACAATTTGAAAATTAGATCAGAGTCATTGCTGGCAGCAGGAAGAGTGTTACCCAGGAAGCAGGTGGGAATTTGGTGCCAACTTTGATGACTTAACACTTCAGTGGAGCTTCCTGCAATGTTTCACTATGTAAAAGGCACTAATTAAACATGTTATTGTTGCTGATTCATGCTGTTCCTTTCCCCAGCAATGTTCAATATTGAAATCAGTAAGGAATCATAGACTATAAACGACCATAGCCAACACTCTCCATTAGAGAGATTGTGACAGGGAGTTATGTACAGCTTGAGGTGGTCCACTTCATAAGTGTAGGGTAAAATGAGGAGATAAGCCTTTCCAAACCTTCACAGCCAGGGTGGGGGTTGAACCCACATTATGGCCTTATTTTTCACTAATCAGCTATAGCTAACTGACCCCAAAACTGATTAAAACAAAGTTGTTGAGGTCACAACACCAGCCAAGTGCCATTTCAATTGTCACTTTGGGCCCATAAGATCAACGGACCAGCAAGTAACAGCGACCATATGGTCCACAGAGGACAACAGCGAGAAGGAAGCGGGGGCCTTACCCAGAACTTTACTAAGAAGAAGGCATTCTGTGGTCCTTTCTCAAACAACTCCTTCAACCCGCCCTTTTTCTCTGGAAATTTGTCGTAGATCTGACGGATATCCACGGCCTCCAGTAACGGGTCGCTGTAGGATGGGTTTGTCTGACCAATGTGTACGAAGAGGTGTTTGTTATACTGCAAAAAAAGAAAGGAGGTGAGTTACTTCATTCCTTCCTGCCAAAGACCACCTTCACTTCCATTCAGCTGCGGCCCATTTGGGGAACTTGTGTGCCTGAATTGGAAGCTCCTGGACCCAGTAGCAATCCAGACACCTGAAGACATAGTTGTGACTGATAGATTAAACCAAAGGCTCAATCTTTCCCCTCAGGTAGCCTTATAAAGGTCCCACAGTGGTACAAGCCATATTCTTTCAGTGCGAAGGGGAATGAGTGATACATGTTGAGCTAGCCAGAGATGTCCACATCCTGTGAACTACATAAAAAAATACAAAGTGCTTTCCCTGGTGACCGGACCAACATTCATGCCCCAACCAACACCTTAACCAGATTCCCTGGCCATTTATCTTATTGCTGTTTGTGGGAGTTTGCTGGGTACAAACTAGTTGCTGCTGTCATGGAGCAGACAAAACCCCCTCAAAACATATCAAGGAGATAGCCTAGACCCTAAACATTGTCTTATTTTAAAGGCAAGTGCACTCCAGATGCAATATGAATGGTCAAACTACCAGTCTTGAAGCAAAACACACTTTATTCATACACTATAGTTAAAAGACAACAAAAGAAAGAAGAAACTGGAATAACTTAACTGTATCGGGAAACTTAACAGAATGATGGATTGTTTTACTACTAAACAGTAACTGTTCCAATATTGTAACATCCCATAAACACACCCTTGGCAAAGGCAAATTCAGTAAAATAGATTGTCTCACATGCAATTCTAGCAGCAGGAAGAGAACCCAAGCTTTTAGCTGTAACTGAGAGAGGAAAAACAGCTTCCAAGCCCAGCTTTAAGACCCCAGTAGCAACTGCTACTGAAAACTAAAACTAAAAATCCTGATTCTGTGGGATTTTGACCCCACCCGTTCAGGCTGCTTCTATTGTTTTGAATTTAGAAAAAAAGACGCAATTTGTGGACTTTGGAGCAGACTGCTTGGCATCTCAACCATTCTTCATTAAAAAAAGGACCAAATGTATCTCTTAAAGCCATAGTGTTGTCTCATTGCACCTTCCTGCATGACTGCAGTGATTACACTTTAGAAAAATGTCTTTGACAGTGAAGTGTTTTGGGGCAGTCACAGGTGCCATTTATATGAAAGTTTTTCTTTTACTCATTTGTCTTTAAGTTGTGTGGATTCAAAGACAGTCTGGAGAGTTTCACGGTGACCTGCGACTCAGAAGAAATGGCAGTTACAAACTAGGGACTGATGGTGGCAAAAACCAAGTTGGAAATACTAATTGAAGCTGGGTTTCAAGATAAAACAGGCAGTAGTTCTATTTGCACACAAACTGAAAGCAAGTACACAGAAGCATTACACTGAGGAAGAACAAAGGCATGTCGAGGGTAGTCCGTCAGCAGAAGCACAGTGAGCCTTGGCAAATTTCAGAGCTAATTCCCAGCAGAATCCAAAGGCAAATTTTTCATTCATGAGGGGGAATTTTCAAAAGGGTGTTCAAATGTAAGTAACAAAGGGTCATGAGCATTCAGGAAAATACATCAGCGCTGTTCTAGCTTTTCAAATCAATCAAATTCCTGAACATAGTACTCAGGACAGGATAATGATTTGAAGCAGCGGTTTGAGAGTAGGTGAGCACAGGGAGGGTCTGCGTCAAGGCCACTATGCTCAGGGGCAGGGTTTGTGTGTGCGGGTTAGGGGCAGTGTTGCTGTGTGTGTGTGTGTGTGTGTGTGTGTGTGTGTGTGTGTGTGTGTGT